TTCATTTTTTTATGTCTCTTATAAACATACACATAAACAAATGTATTCCGTTATTATTCATTGTAATTGATTTTAGATAGGGTTTTTGTTTTTGTCTTTTCAATAAAAGATAATTAAAAAAAAAAGTAATATTTTTATAGACAGAGTAATATATTATTTGTAGAGCTCAAAGGATTAATTTCTTTCTTTCTTTCTTATTGTTGTTGTTGTTTTCTTCATTCGTTGCTTGAAAAACAATTAAACACGCGAATTTTAAATGGCTCCCTTATCATCTTAGACTTTACATTTGGCGAATTAAGACGTTAATTTTGAAGTATTTTAAGTACCTTGAAAACGAACGTAACGTAACCTAGTTTCAGAGAAAAAAAGTTCAATTAAAATAATAAAAAAAAAAAAAAAAAAAGAACAAATAAAAAAAGATCATACATAAGATTGACAATTATTCTTCAACATTTACATTATAGAGCATGATCTCACAGATCTATAATCCTACTCGAATTGAAACCTAATATCTATATATATATATATATATATATATTTATTTGAGATTTATTATTTAATTGTTAATAGGTTAATTTTGATTTCATTCCAAAGTATTCGTCATTATTATTTTAAATTTCTTTGTTTAAAATGATTCCGCATGGTTGTACAACGTCTACGTTTATCAACCTAGGCCTCTTCGAGCTTGATTTCTTCTCATCCTTTTTAAGTAACTCTTCTATCGAATAGGGATTCCGTTTTTTTTGTACCGGAACCGGTCTATTCTCAACAGGTATTTCATTACCCGTTACCGTCGTATTCGTTTGTTCTTTTTCCGTTTCAATGATTCTTTTCGATTGATTCTGTTGTTGTTGTTGTTGTTGTTGCTGTTGTGGTTGTTGTGGTTGTTGTTGTTGTTTATCCATTTCCAATGGATTTACCGGTGGTGTTGGATGTCTTACAAATGCACTCCGGTCGCTTCCTATTTTCTGACCAAGTTCCAATATAATTCTACCACTTTGAAATGATTTATATTGATCCTGGGATTCATTATTTTCTTCCAAATCGCTTTTGTCCAATGAATCATCGCTACCTGCCATAGAACTCGAACTTGATTTTAATTCAACTTGATTTTGTACGCCATTTTGATCGGCCAATCTTTCGGCGTCCAATGATCTACAAAAATTCGACAAATTAATAATTTATATATTATTCTATTGAATTTTTTTTTATATATATATATTGGATATTTTATTCGTTAATATTTAATTTTGTTTAATTGAAACATACGTTAACGATTGCATTCCATGATGTAAATGTAACGTCGTAGCTTGATAAAGGGACGAATAAAAACTTGGATTCCAAGATGGCGTCCCGTTGTTTCCAGAACTCGTTGAAATTTGCAACGGTCCTAATGCACCTGGGTAAAATAATTGATAGTCTGTTCTCATTAATGATTCTGTAACAAAACAAAACAAACAATTTCCGATCATAAATATTGTATATATATGTTAAAGAATAAATTGGGTTTATTCTCGTCGAAGAAGAAGAAGAAGAAGAAAAAGAAGATAAGGGGGTTCACGAAAAAGACGAATATTTATCTTCAATCTTTACCGATGAATATAATTATTAGATAAAATCGATCATTTTGTTTTGAATTAATAATAAATCGCGTGTTAATATAACTTATCATTTGTTGCTAATAATAAATGTGAATTGAAGTTTGACGTCACAACATGGGTGAGATGATATCGAGTGCCCTTAACGTTATGCAACCCGTCTCATTTGTTTGCTCAATTGATTTAGTTGCTGGGTGGTCCCCTTTTTTCTCTCCGCCATCTTTGATATTTCTTTCGTATCCGTTTTAATGAAATTGATTTCAATGAGAATTATAAATAAATTATGAACTATGATTTTTGAATTTATTCAGTTTAATTTACTAACGTAACATGTTAGGAATAAAAATGAAAAATGTTGTCTATATTTTCATTCGATTTCTATCCCTAGGGGTATATATTTATTTAAAAAGAAAACAAAAAACAAAAGAAAAATTAAAAATAAACAAGCAAAGGAAGAATCGTCTGATGCAAAAATTGCATAGGTCACGAAAGCGGAATGATTTAAATTTGCGGATCCTTTATTTTTATTCTCCGGTCCAGAGAGGATTCATCAAAGTTCGCGTGTTCTTAGACTGACGAGTCAATCATACCGAGTACCAAAATCTTTGCACAAATTTCTTCTCGACTATCGACTTTCTCCATAACTTTTTTCTTCTTCTTCTTCTTCTTCTTCTTCCAGGCTAATCGAGACTAAAAAAGGGTAAGAAAATAAAAAGAAAACAAATAAAAAGGAAAAGAAGATTTGAACGAAGTTTTAGACCAATTACGTGTTAGAGACAGATGTTTAAGGGGGATCCTTGACTGATTGTCAGATAAATTTAATCGACAAATATATTTTAATATATAAATCTATTGATTAAATTACCTTGGAATTAAAAATTATGACGGCAAAATTAAATATTGAATATAATTGGACAGAACAAAATGGGGAAGTACTCTTTGGAAGCAACATTGGAAAAGAATTTAGATAAAAATTATCGTCGGATAATAACACAGTACAAAATTCCCTAGCTTTATATAAAAATAATTAAAATATTAAAAAAAAAGTGATAAAACAAAATGAAGAAGTATCTTTGGAAGTATTTCTTCAATACTGAAAAACATTTCTAAAGTAAACCGTTAATTAATAAACCAACAAAATTCCCCTAGCTTCTTGAGTTTATTTAAAATACCAAAGAAATAATCAAAACAAAATGGAGAAGTACCCTTTTGGAAGCAACATTGGAAAAGAATTTAGATAAAAATTATCGTCGGATAATAACACAGTACAAAATTCCCTAGCTTTATATAAAAATAATTAAAATATTTAAAAAAAATAGTAAAACAAAATAAAGAAGTATCTTTGGAAGTATTTCTTCAATACTGAAAAACATTTCTAAAGTAAACCGTTAATTAATAAAACAACAAAATTCCCTAGCCCCTTATAAAAATAATTAAAATATTAAAAAGAGAAATGGGGTAAAACAAAATATAGGGAAGCAACATTGGAAAAAAAATTTACATACAATTATCGTCGGATAATAACACGGTACAAAATTCCCTAGCGCTTTACATAACAATAATTAAAATATTAAAATAAAAGTGATAAAACAAAATGAAGAAGTATCTCTGGAAGGTATTTCTTCAATATTGAAAAAAAATTTCTAAATAAAACCGTCAATTAATAAAACAACAAAATTCCCTAGCCCCTTATAAAAATAATTAAAATATTAAAAAGAGAAATGGGGTAAAACAAAATATGGGGAAGCAACATTAGAAAAAAAATGTAGATAAAAATTATCGTCGGATAATAACCCCGATACAAAATTCCCTAGCGCTTTATATATAAAAATAATTAAAATATTAAAAGAAAATAAAAAACAAAAAACTAGTAAAAAACAAAATGTGAGGAGGGGAATTACCTCTGGAAGCAACATTGGAAGAGATTTGCGAAGTATATCCGGTGGATGAAGTTCCTTCGATTCCAGGATGATCCGTGTGTAGTCCACCACCCCTGAGAATTCGGTTAACCGATGAAACGGAAGGTAAGCTTTGTGGATCGCAAGCACCTTGTCTGGCAAGTTGTTCGCGTATTTCCCAGGCAAACATCGTCGGCTGTTCCTGTTTCATTCGGAGAATTTTCTTAACGACCGTAGGCGTTGCTACTTGCTGCAATTCCAATATAAACACATACATACAAACAAACATTGGTCTCGGTTAACCCGTAACGAAAACTTTTGTGTGTCATTTAAACGGAAATAGATGCGAGACAAACAAATATTGCACTTTTCTTTGTGTTTCTTTTTTTTTTGGTCCAATAGTCATTTAAGAAACAGTCTCGATTCCCCTAGTTAGTTACATTTGAGGTTAGAAACGAGAATTCTACGATAGGTCGTAAAAGATTTTAACTTCAATATTATCTTCTTCTTACACACGGAAAGCCATTTACATTCTTCCTAGTTATATATAGTTAGGGAATAGTGGTACGGAGTGGGGAGGGGGACCGATTACGAGGGAATATTTAAATTTTACGATCCACCTTTTTATCCAAGGACATGATCCAAGATCTAATAAGTTTATTTCTAACACATTCTATATAGATATTATTGAAATAAGTTATCACATTTAAATAGACGAATACTTGTTAGATATATCAGAAATCTGATATATCATATATATAAAGAAATAAAATGATCGTGTCGTCGATTTCGAAATGCAAACTAAACGATGGGAAATGATATGAAAAATAATCGACAGGAAAGAGAATGTGTCCTGTACTGGGCATATGTCGAGCACAGGTGAAGAGAAGAGGATCCATAAGAGCGCAGGCAGCAGGGTCAACGATCAAGATAAGCAAGTAAAGTCCGGTAGGTGGGTTGTTATAAACCTACTACTACTACTACATACATTATTTCGATTTTAGACGATCGTGTTTTGGGACAGTACGAAACGGAAAGAGAACTATAGTCATCTGCCAGCCCCATTTTTGTCCTTCCATGTTTATAACCTTTTAGGTTATGTTCATTTCGTCTTTTCGTTGGTAGAAAAGAAAAAGAATGATTTTATCAGTGGTTCTCAATGATCAAAATCTTCAATGATTTATTATATCTTGTTCTCAGTACAGATGTGTTAGATATACAAAAATATATTATTATTATAGAAATGATTAATAAATAAGTATCGTAGGTAAATATTGGACATTAAAAAGAACTAGAATTTAGTTTTGATTAATTGAACGTTTCGGCCCCTTTATTGGGACTTATTAAGCAACTTAATCTATAAAGTTCAGTGTCTTTTTTACTTAAGCAGACATACATTCTTGTAATATTTGAAAAACTAAACATTTAAACTTCGTTATCTCTTAATCCGTTATATTTGAACACTTAAACAAAAACGAAAAAAATTCTAGAAAATTTAATAGATTTTCTTTTGCTTTGTTTTTGTTTCCCCTTCATTGGTTATTTCTCTCTCGTTGGATTTTTTTTCTCTTAAAAAAAAAAAAATAGTATTTTACTTGATAGCGCATTTAAGTTCTACAGTGATTCTCAATTTCAAAGTGATTCTTATAAATTTGACTTGCTAATGAGTATTCTTAAAAGAGGGGGACTAAGTTTTTTAATGGTATATACAAGACAACAAGAGAGAAGCCGCGCCGCCACCGTTGATAATTTCATGCTAACGGTATGGAAATGTTATTCGAGTTTCATACTGAGATTTTTCAGATCGTCGACTCGTGCCAAAGGCGACGAACCGAGAAACAGGGGAAGGTAAAAAGAATACAAGAAACAAAGACTAAGATAAGAATTAACGAATCTTATTTCTTTTCATGATTTTTAATTACTTTCATGATCTCTTTCATTTATTTTCAAATGTGTAATTAGTAAATTATTACTGAAAAGTATACATCTTTATGTTATAAAACATTTTTCTCTCTATTTTATAAATAAATAACTTCTTCTTTTATATTTTCAGTAATACTTTATATTTATTAGACATCGAGTTTTCATTAATATATATATTTAATATTAATATTTTTATTTCATAATAAAACATTTGTTGTTACAATTAGATTTTGTTATTTGTTATTGAAACAGAATAAATGAAAACTAACCTATAAAATTTATTTTCACAATTTAACTTCTATCTATTAAATATATATCTATATATATAATACAAAACATATAGATATTGTTATATATAAATACATAAGAAAACAATAAACCTATGAATACCAAAATACAAAAGAACACCATTATTAATCTATAAACTAATGAACTTTCGAACAATACATAACCTAAAAAAAAAAGATAAAACCTACAAACACCTATATAACCTTTAAAACAATGAAAACCAACATCATATTACTATCAAAATTAAATCAATGAATAAAATAATATCAATCAAAAAAAAGAAATATCATATAAGATGAGATAAATTTCATGAAAATTCAATGAGTTATTGAAAATTTGGAAGATTGAGAGCTACTGTTAGGGTACCTCCACGATTAAGGGCGGTTATGGCAACAGAGAGAGAGAGAGTTCAGGACAAGGAGGGTTAACCTAATAGTTTCAGAGGGTTAGGACAAGCCTCGCGTGCTACCAGGAGCATCTCAGATTCTAATCTGACACTTCCGTCGTCGTTGCCACAATTACCTTGGTCGACGTTGTGTATACGGTGTCCTAATGTCTCTCTCTCTCTCTCTCTCTCTCTCTCTTTTGCAACCTAGCTATCCCTACATTACGAACAACCTCTCCATACGCGTGTACTCGCTCACACGGTCGAGGAAATTGGTTTGGCAGGACGGACATATGGCGCTAAACGTTAGATAACGCAAACCGTTCGAACAGGTTGACCAACTCGGTAATTACTGCACGAACCTACTATATATACATATATATATATAGGAGTTTGTAATTGTGTTCTATGTATGGGTTTGTATGTTTGTGTATTTGTGTACATCCTAGCCGATAAGGACAACCAACAATCTTCGAACCTGTTTTCTTTTCCATTCCTTTTCTTTTCTTTTTTTTATTGTGTTTCAAAGAAATATACAAATGATGATTTAAATCTTCTTTGATATATATATATGTGTATCAAATTTAATATAATAAATTAATTACTATACTGAGACCATTAAAGGTATGATATATAAGGAAGGGATTATCAGGTTAGTTCAAAAGTTTGTGCACATTTTTGCGAATTTTCTATTCCTTTTCTTTTATTTTTTTCTTGTGTTTCAAAGAAATATACAAATTATGATTTAAATCCTTTGATATATATATATATATATATCAAAAAATTCATTAAATGAATTATTAATTATTATACTGAGACCATTAAAGGTATGATATATAAAGAAGGATTATCAGGTCAGTTCAAAAGTTTGTGCACATTACATTATCTACAAATTTCGCAAACATGTGTACGAACTTTTGGATTGATCTGATTCATGCTCTGAGTTAGGTAATATATAAATAAATGAGAAGTATACTGTACTTATTGTATGCAATTAAAATATGAAACTTAATTTAGATCTGATAGAACAGAAGGATCAATATAATATTGATTTTTAATGTAGAGGAAGTAATATGAATGAATAAAAATGCGAGAATTATTGTAAAAAGAATGTAAGATTTATTAGAAAGACAAATCTTATTTTCAAAATTTCATACTACTCGAATATTAGTCTTTCGTTTATTCATATTAAATCGTTAAGTATATTAAACGTCTGATTATTTTTATTACTTTCGATTCGAAATCGAAGATATCTCGGATATTTAATTGTGAATTATAAATTTGTATAGATTTTGATTGTGAAATGAACTTATTAAATCGAAAGATAAATAATTTGTCGTTTAAAATATATAAATTTAAAAAATGTCCTTATCCTATAATTTGTTTAATATATTTTATATATTGAGTTATTAAATTTTTCTATTTTTTGTATTTCTTCGAAAAAAAAGTAAAACTACGTTGTATACTTTAAACGATTCTAATGAATAATAAGTTATTGTTTAAAAAATAACGTTTATTATATATTTAATACGATATCAAAGAATCATTATCAAGATTTTATTCGACAGATAGAATATTTAAAGCTGGGAAGCTTTAATCTAAGTGATATATTCATTTGAAATTGAGGTTATGTTGATATGAACATTTACAAATAACCCCATAAATAGGTGTCGAGTTCTATGAATCGTTGCAATTCGTCAAAATAAAATAGAAGAAATTCATAAGGACTTCATTCATCGGGTAGAGAACACATTTTCTAGCTTTCTTCTTTTTTATCCCTTTCTATTTTTTTCCCTCCTTTTTTTTTTTTCTTTCGGTAACCCACGTTTTCTCTTCCATCTAAATCATTCATGTTGAAAAGGTAAACATCGTATATGACTAGTCCGTTAAGATCTTAATTACCTGATAAACCTGGAAAACTGAACGTTTTTCTTTTTATCTCTTTTTCTTTGTCTCTCTCTCTCTCTCTCTCTCTCTCTCTCTCTCTCTCTTTCTCTGTTCGTAGGGTAGAACTTAAAAGTATCAATCGATCCAGACAAAAAGTTTTAAATCGATAAGTTAAGAAGAAAAACAAATGTGAATTAAATAAAATTCTAATTAAACAAAAATCAACAATATTGTATTTTCTTTTGTTTTATTTATTGGGGAAACCTCTTTCTTCATTTAACAAACATACGTGCTAATTCTTGATAAGGTATCACAGTGAACTTGTACATAAAAAAGAAGTAGAACTTAATTTAATTAAGTTGGACGTTTCGTTCCTTTATTGGGATTTCTTCAGCAACTCTAATTTTTACAGTTCAGGGTGTATTTTTCATTTGGGTGGACATACATTTTCCTTTTTATTAATATTCCCAACACACAAAAGATCTAAATTTTCGTTAAATATTCGCTCGTTATCATTTGAAACTCTCAACAAAACTCATTAAGTTCTATTTCTTGTTTATGTCCAAGTTCCCTGTGATACCTTGTCAAGAATTATAATTTAGGACTAGAGAAATAATGAATTAAATACGTGCTAATATTATTCTAACGTGAAAAAAATGGACAAACAATCAATTGTACTCGGAATCTCACACTTAAGAAACTAAATTTGATCAACTATCCAAAAAAAAACACTAATTCTGAACAAAACAAACAAATGTATACGTTCAAAACTGTTCTTATACTATAAATACTTATACATAATCGCA